GAGAACCGGGCGGCCAAAGATCGACTTGCTCCAGGACACAAGATGAAAGCAGGTGAGCCTTATTATATCATTCACCATGTAACATCACATGCACACGCGCGCAAAGAGTGTGGATCGTTATGCTGTATACTGTACTCACCAATCAATCAATATCTGCTGTATAAATATATAAATATATATATATATATATAAATATATAAATATATATATATATATATATATATATATAGGCACCATGCAACTCCTCAAAGTGCAGGCAAGGCAAAAGTTCCAGTTGCCTACCACCTGGAATCCAAGCGACGAAACCATCCGGACGCGACTCAAGAAAAGGATCCATACGGTCAATCCAAGAAAAGGACCCAAAAGTCCTGTAGATCCTTCGGTGGAACGAACCGTAGTGGAAATGGCGACTGCTTTCCAAAAGAGGACCGGAAGATCCATGTCCCAGTCTGGTATCATTCAACTGGTCAATGATTTAATCAAAGGCAAACCGATTCTGGAGCAGGAGATTATTGACTGGCAACTTTTGTACTGTCCACATATACGCAAGCGGTTTGAGACAACGAAAGAACGCCCTACCTCGGCCAACTTGGGTCCCGGATGGTACAAGGGCTTTCGGGAACGAAATCCTGACTTTGCAATGGTTGTTCGTAACGGCACTACAATTTGAACCAAGCATTTCTGTTAGCTGTCGGAAGGGGTCAACCATTTTGTTCAGTATCTCCTCTCTCTTTGTGAAGAAAAAAATATCTAAAGAAAAAAATATTAAATGTTAAATATCTGGCTATAGCTAGGAGGATGTAAGACGTCGTCATTTACCATGTTTGAAATCTAGCTGGTGGTGGTCACTGCTTCGTCTTTCAAGAAACCACCATAGCACAACCTATCTTTGTCATTCTTTTTTATTATAGTGGTCGCACGATTGATTGTCATTACACGCGAATGTCGCGCCCTATCGAAGATAGCCAACTGGCGCCTACTGTACCGCCTGGTTTCTTCCGTGAGGGATTCTTTCTTGGTGTGACTCTGGTGGGTTGTGGTGTGAAGCTGGTCTTTTGGATTGCGCGCGAAGCGTGCGGTTCCAGAAGACCAGTCTTTGATATCCCGCAAAGCGGAATATCAGAGACTTGCTTGCCTACTAGGTCATGCATTGATGCAAATTGCAGCAATGCATGGCCTAACAGGGATGTGGAGGGAGGGAAAGAAAGAAATAAACGTATTTCTTGATGTATACTCGCACACAAGTTCGATAAATTGATCGGACTTGGTGTTGCGGAGCAATGCTGTTGAGACGGTCGTTCGACCGTCGTCAGTATGATGAAAGGAATCCAATGATTCGTTCTCGAGCTTTCGTCTATACGTTAGAATATTGGTTTTCATCCGTTGATCGAATTCATTCACCTATCTAAGATAGCCTACTGCCGTCCTCCGTGTGTGTGTTCGTAGTATTTTGTCTTGGTGTGTAGCTGGTGGGTTGTGGTGTGAAGCGGGTCGAACTGATCGAGTAATAGACTCGATTCGTTCGACCAATCTCAGAAATCCCGTGTGCGGTATTACTGAGATCTGCTTTCCTACCAGGCACCGCCGATATGGTAAAATGGAGGCGGTGCCCAACAGGGCGGGTGAGGTTTGGGAGAGAAAAATTGAATTACCACGACACAAGTGGGTGAATTCAATCTCAGTCGATAAACTGGGCATCATTGCCTGGGCGCATCGACAACAACTTTTGACGGTCAAATGTTTTAAGGCCAGGCAGACATACCTGAGACTGGTTGGCTCGCTGACTGAAGCCGACAACACTAGCGATTTGTACGTGCGCGTTATGCGTACGTTGAGCGATAGTTTGCTTGGATGTTTTCACATCAACACAATTAATTTTTAGGCATCAAGGTTTTACGATTATTCTTGTTGCCTTAAAACAATTCCATGTTTTCGGATTCCCTGCAAAACCGACTCATAGGAATCCCCCGAATAAAACGGACCAAACGGACATTTGTCCGTCTGTCCGATCGGACGTGTCGAACTGCTTCCATCAAGGAGTTTCCAATGAATGGTCTCCAAGAGAGCAATTTCAACATGTAGATAAAGTTGGAAATCGGTTCTGGCGGACATCAGACTGCTTGTCTTCGTCCAAACCGATTGACAACGTTGTGGCCCATCAAGCCATGATTGCCAACCAGCCGTGCCAGCATGCGACCCATCATGCAGAGGCACCGTCCATAGCGATCTCCGATCCGCCTAATAGGAAATAATCATCTCTACAGGAAATAACTATTCTAAAAGACTTGTTATCTACATGGAATGGGCAAAGCAAAAGCCTTGCACGAAAACTCAAATTTCCCAAACCTTTACTGGATGTTTGCAATCCAGAAAGGCCGGTACAAAACCCACGTACAGAACTCCTGCAGGATTCAGTATGGGATTTTCGTGGCGCTCAGACGTTTCATGGTCCAAGTGTTTTAAGGCCAGGCAGACATACCTGAGACTGGTTGGCTCGCTGACTGAAGCCGACAACACTAGCGATTTGTACGTGCGCGTTATGCGTACGTTGAGCGATAGTTTGCTTGGATGTTTTCACATCAACACAATTAATTTTTAGGCATCAAGGTTTTACGATTATTCTTGTTGCCTTAAAACAATTCCATGTTTTCGGATTCCCTGCAAAACCGACTCATAGGAATCCCCCGAATAAAACGGACCAAACGGACATTTGTCCGTCTGTCCGATCGGACGTGTCGAACTGCTTCCATCAAGGAGTTTCCAATGAATGGTCTCCAAGAGAGCAATTTCAACATGTAGATAAAGTTGGAAATCGGTTCTGGCGGACATCAGACTGCTTGTCTTCGTCCAAACCGATTGACAACGTTGTGGCCCATCAAGCCATGATTGCCAACCAGCCGTGCCAGCATGCGACCCATCATGCAGAGGCACCGTCCATAGCGATCTCCGATCCGCCTAATAGGAAATAATCATCTCTACAGGAAATAACTATTCTAAAAGACTTGTTATCTACATGGAATGGGCAAAGCAAAAGCCTTGCACGAAAACTCAAATTTCCCAAACCTTTACTGGATGTTTGCAATCCAGAAAGGCCGGTACAAAACCCACGTACAGAACTCCTGCAGGATTCAGTATGGGATTTTCGTGGCGCTCAGACGTTTCATGGTCCAAGTGTTTTAAGGCCAGGCAGACATACCTGAGACTGGTTGGCTCGCTGACTGAAGCCGACAACACTAGCGATTTGTACGTGCGCGTTATGCGTACGTTGAGCGATAGTTTGCTTGGATGTTTTCACATCAACACAATTAATTTTTAGGCATCAAGGTTTTACGATTATTCTTGTTGCCTTAAAACAATTCCATGTTTTCGGATTCCCTGCAAAACCGACTCATAGGAATCCCCCGAATAAAACGGACCAAACGGACATTTGTCCGTCTGTCCGATCGGACGTGTCGAACTGCTTCCATCAAGGAGTTTCCAATGAATGGTCTCCAAGAGAGCAATTTCAACATGTAGATAAAGTTGGAAATCGGTTCTGGCGGACATCAGACTGCTTGTCTTCGTCCAAACCGATTGACAACGTTGTGGCCCATCAAGCCATGATTGCCAACCAGCCGTGCCAGCATGCGACCCATCATGCAGAGGCACCGTCCATAGCGATCTCCGATCCGCCTAATAGGAAATAATCATCTCTACAGGAAATAACTATTCTAAAAGACTTGTTATCTACATGGAATGGGCAAAGCAAAAGCCTTGCACGAAAACTCAAATTTCCCAAACCTTTACTGGATGTTTGCAATCCAGAAAGGCCGGTACAAAACCCACGTACAGAACTCCTGCAGGATTCAGTATGGGATTTTCGTGGCGCTCAGACGTTTCATGGTCCAAGTGTTTTAAGGCCAGGCAGACATACCTGAGACTGGTTGGCTCGCTGACTGAAGCCGACAACACTAGCGATTTGTACGTGCGCGTTATGCGTACGTTGAGCGATAGTTTGCTTGGATGTTTTCACATCAACACAATTAATTTTTAGGCATCAAGGTTTTACGATTATTCTTGTTGCCTTAAAACAATTCCATGTTTTCGGATTCCCTGCAAAACCGACTCATAGGAATCCCCCGAATAAAACGGACCAAACGGACATTTGTCCGTCTGTCCGATCGGACGTGTCGAACTGCTTCCATCAAGGAGTTTCCAATGAATGGTCTCCAAGAGAGCAATTTCAACATGTAGATAAAGTTGGAAATCGGTTCTGGCGGACATCAGACTGCTTGTCTTCGTCCAAACCGATTGACAACGTTGTGGCCCATCAAGCCATGATTGCCAACCAGCCGTGCCAGCATGCGACCCATCATGCAGAGGCACCGTCCATAGCGATCTCCGATCCGCCTAATAGGAAATAATCATCTCTACAGGAAATAACTATTCTAAAAGACTTGTTATCTACATGGAATGGGCAAAGCAAAAGCCTTGCACGAAAACTCAAATTTCCCAAACCTTTACTGGATGTTTGCAATCCAGAAAGGCCGGTACAAAACCCACGTACAGAACTCTTTGTACCATGTTGGAAATCGGTTCTGGCGGACATCAGACTGCTTGTCTTCGTCCAAACCGATTGACAACGTTGTGGCCCATCAAGCCATAATTGCCAACCAGCCGTGCCAGCATGCGACCCATCAAGTCGTCATGCAGAGGCACCGACCATAGCGATCTCCGATCCGCCTAATAGGAAATAATCATCTCTACAGGAAATAACTATTCTAAAAGACTTGTTATCTACATGGAATGGGCAAAGCAAAAGTCTTGCACGAAAACTCAAATTTCCCAAACCTTTACTGGATGTTTGCAATCCAGAAAGGCCGGTACAAAACCCACATACAGAACTCCCGCAGGATTCAGTATGGGATTTTCGTGGCGTTCAGACGTTTGCCCACAATTCCACCGACTCATAGGAATCCCCCGAATAAAAACGGACCAAACGGACATTTGTCCGTCTGTCCGATCGGACGTGTCGAACTGCTTCTATCAAGGAGCTTCCAATGAATGGTCTCCAAGAGAGCAGTAGATAATGTTGGAAATCGGTTCTGGCGGACATCAGACTGCTTGTCTTCGTCCAAACCGATTGACAACTTTGTGGCCCATAAAGCCAACATTGCCAACCACTCATGCCAACATGCGACCCATCAAGTCGTCATGCAGAGGCACCGACCATAGCGATCTCCGATCCGCCTAATAGGAAATAATCATCTCTACAGGAAATAACTATTCTAAAAGACTTGTTATCTACATGGAATGGGCAAAGCAAAAGCCTTGCACGAAAACTCAAATTTCCCAAACCTTTACTGGATGTTTGCAATCCAGAAAGGCCGGTACAAAACCCACGTACAGAACTCCTGCAGGATTCAGTATGGGATTTTCGTGGCGCTCAGACGTTTCATGGTCCAAGTGTTTTAAGGCCAGGCAGACATACCTGAGACTGGTTGGCTCGCTGACTGAAGCCGACAACACTAGCGATTTGTACGTGCGCGTTATGCGTACGTTGAGCGATAGTTTGCTTGGATGTTTTCACATCAACACAATTAATTTTAAGGCATCAAGGTTTTACGATTATCCTTTGAGGTCAATGCACATCCTTTAAACACAAAGGCCGTTCGGCCTTTGTCCGTCTGTAACACAATGTAGTCAAAGAAATCGAACAGTGTGCCTGCGGTCTACGTTGGAGAACTCATTTTTATTTTGGGATTCAATCATGCTTACTATGATTTTTATGACACAAACCGCTCCAAGTTCGACTCCAAGAATATATAAAGTCACATATTGAAATACACTCTTGAAAGCAGATCTATTTGGTATAAAGTGTCACAAAAACACACAAATAAGCATAGTTTGTTCCGTCATCGTCATCGTCATCATTATCATCATCAGCACGGCACGCAGCATCATCATCATGGCGTCATCCTCTTCTATTCCAAATATCGACAATCCCACTCCTAGACAAAACCACTTCATTGATGAGCTGATCAAAACTCAGACGAAAGCTTTAGAAGCTGTATCGATCACGGATCCAGTACTAGATTGTTCTGTCGCTGAAGTTGTACCAGACGACGACGACTCGACTGTTGAAATACTGCTAGACGACGACGACGACGATGACGAGTCGGATGTTGACACTGAAACGCAGAGGACTGATGAGAAAAAGGTGTCAGGAAAGGGTGGTGATGATTCCAAAACTGCGCAATACGTGAGACTAACAAAAAAGGAAAGGGAAGCCCTTCATTGGGTCACTATGGAGTACGGGGCGGCCAGAGATCGACTTGCTCCAGGTCGCAGCAGACTTGCAAAAGGTAAGCCAGCAGTGAATGAATGAATGATGTACGAATATCAGAACGTGATTATATATATTACTAACTTTGAAATCAATATCGCTTCGGAGGCGCAATGGACCTCCTCAAAGAGCAAGCAAGATCCAAGTTCAATCTGCCTCCGCAATGGAATCCGAGCAACGAAACCGTATGGTCGAAACTCAAGCGAAGACTGCAGTACAGTATCCCCCTTCTGTAGACCGGACTATCGCAGAAATGGCGACTACTGCATCAAGCCAAGATGGGTTGCCACTGAGACAGGCAGTCATTCTCAAACTTGCCAATGACTATATCAAAGGCAGACCTGTTATTGAACAGGAGGTCATTGACTGGCAAATCCGTCACAATCCAACAACTCGTGCCCGCTTTGAGACTTTTCAAGAACGCCCTACATCTGTCAATCTAGGCGCTGGGTGGTACAAGGGCTTTTGGGAACGAAATCCCGACATTGTGCATGACACGAAGGTTTGAAGCCTTCGAACATGCTTCCGTCTCCTTCACGCACGGTGGTGTGAGAAGTCAAGAGTGACTACAGTAGCTCCAAAAGAAGAATCACCGATTGTATGAAAAAATAAAAAGTGCTCTTGTTCTACATTCTTTTCTATTTTTCCGTTCCCCTTTGTCGCTTTGTTGTAATAAAAGCGTATTGCATGGTACGTGTACGGCATTATAAAATACTGGTACCTCTTGCCAATTCTTTTATTTTATACCGGTATAATATATATTCAATATAGGGACCGGATATATAAAATACACGAACGAATCGGAATCAATCGAAAAGTCGAATCAATCCACGGACTCAATCATGTTTCAAACTCGAAAATTGAGGACTGACAACCTCGTACCTATATATATCATTGCATGTATTTTTATTGATTATTGGAGAGATCTAGTGATGAGCTGTTGCAGCTATTGGATTGCCATGATTGTTAAAGCTGACGGATTTGAATCCATCAGAGTGTTTTCACTTTGCAAGAGTAATCATGCGGGAGGAGACACGAGTGCTTGCATGTTTGAATGAATCAACGAATCAATCAATACTTCAACTGAGGATTTCCTTTCAATTTTGGTGCACAGGAGAGAAACCAGACTTTACTGGCACAATCCAGTAGTCAGTACCCGCTTGGAGGAAACTTTTAATTATATACAAGCTGCGGGGGCTTTTCGCATCCTTGCTTTTGGGAACAAGGAGCAACGCAACTCACGTTTCATATATATGTGTTCGGAAATACAGCTGATTCGCATAGGGGTCGCAATACCGGCACTTCGTCTCCTCCCATTCTTGAAAACGCAAAAGAATGAGTCAACACAAGTACTGCATTCTCAAAAGAAGAATCGAGTGCCATAGCTGCATGTCAATAGCTGATCCTCTATCCCTGATATAGTCCTGGTGGCTGTGCCCACCAAATTTACCTGCTTTTGACGCGGGCTAAAATTGCTAGTATATAAACATTTGACAGGCAGTGTGCAAAAAGTAATGTATTCTAGTATGACATGTACATGTAGGGTACTGTATAATATCTATCTCATGAAATCACGCTGCAGGCGCTGTGGGCGTGGCAACTGGCAGGTTTCGGAGAAAACCTCGAATGTGGCGCAAATGTGAAGACCTTCCTTGATCCACCAGGATCATGTAGATAGATAGCAAATAAAAAATACTTGCATTCCATGATTCGGTGTTCCCAATTTGCAGATCAATCAATGCTGTATTGTTGTACAGCACAAATTGAAACAAGGGATTCTGCTGGATGTCTTGTGAATTGTACGCCAAGGTGTACAATTGCTTTGCTCTGTAAAGGTATTGGATTGACCTTTCCTTGTCTTGTTTCGCGATCAAATGATGAGCCAGTGCTGCGTTGAACATGAGCACTGGTGCGACAATTGCGTAATTGGTCACAGTGGGAGCCAATGGAATAGCATCGCTATAAATAAATGGAGGAGAGTCATCTTGGTGCGGTGTATCATCATTTTCCGCAATTCTGGTAAGAAGAATACACTGATCGAATGAGCTTGCAGGAGATGTGCTTGCTTGGAGAAACCTGTCTTGTTGTGTCGCTGTGATGTTACCAAGGTGCTGCAATGCAGACGAAGCTGATGCTACTGCTCTGTAGTAGTCCTGAGCTTCGAGGTGATCAATGGTTTGCTGGTTCATGTCGATAACAGTTTGAATAGAGGATATCGTCATGATGAAGTCAGTTTGTTGCGTGGATTTGTCTCTAGATTATGCAATCAAACGGGAGATTGTTCAAATTTGTGTGCTACATGTTTCATGTTCCCATCCCTGACCGTCAGAGTGCTTTTTCTTGTGATTCGATTTCACACTTGGTATTTAACGCGAAGTGGGTATTAGGTGCAATAAACGTCAGTTTCCATCAATTTCTGTCAGTATGAACACATTTGGGATTTGCGGCACTGTTATTTCTCTGAGGTAATTAGATCCGAGTTCTTTTCGTTATTTCTCCGTACATGAACAGAAATGCTTCGCGGAAGACGATGGTGACGGGAAAAATGATACATATGGCCACGGGACCGCTGGGTCCAAGTATCCGTGGCTTCGCTGGAAAGAATCATCATGATAGAACTATGGGAACGTTGATCTCAGTTCCCATAGTCGGATTCCCGCCAAAAATTGCATAGAAAAGTCTACCAGATTTCTCCGCAACTTCACTTCGAGCGACCACACAAAATTCGTGCGACCCAAAATTCACTCCTTCTCCCGTTCTCCACATGACTATTACTCCAGCTGTTCTGGCAAATGACAACCGCACACACACACTGACACGAACGACTGCGCTGAGTGAACAATCATACCGACCAATTAATACTTCTACGGTAGCAACCACAAGCCATGACAGAAACCAACCCTGAAGCGGCTCGCCCCCAAGGTTACCTACGAATGCTTCAAGTAGAGGAACCTCTGTCGTTTTATCCATTTGACGACGATAGATTGCAGGAAACTCAAATACGCCTGGAACGACGCAAGAAATCAACGGAAAACAACTCTTTCACTTCCATTCAAAAGTCCTTTGTCGATGTGTTGGCGGAAAACCGATTTGTCTGTTTCTTTATCATCCAAGGAAACAAGAATTTCCATTCCAATCACACACTGAACTTGCGAAAACGGTTGGCCCTCAACTTTCACGACCGCATCACCACCTTGGTGGTCTTTTGTGGGGATTCGGAAGGCGAGCCGTTGTTTTGTCAAGGAACAGGGTTTACTTCCTTCCCTTTCTCCGCAACTCTAATGTCCGTTTTGAACATTGCCCAAGTACCATCCCTGGTAGTTTTGGACACACAAACTGGAAGACCGATCCACTCGGATGCCGCCCTGGCACTGGAATGGAACAATCCACACGAAGTATTGGGTGCCTGGGAGCAGGAGCAATCAGGGCTTACAACAACTCAAAAGGCGGTTTCAGTGGTCACATTACAAAGCAATTGTACCATTTCCTAAATTGTTTTGGGATCGTGATTTTGGATGTCGCTAGAAGATGGATGAAGAAGATGCTGGACGAATGGAAGTATATTCTTCAACAAGTTGTTTTCAGGTGATGGTGAATATTGACTGGCGATTTTACTATTATGCATTGCCTGCTATCTGCTACCAAATCATATTCTGGGTGTATGCCGTGGCTTGTAAATGCTCACCAACGAGTCGGTCGTCCCTGCTGCCAAGATCATTTTGTGCTTGTGGAACGCCAAACAACTAATGGGGTCCAATTTTTGCTTGTGCAATTCGTCGTAATGCCGAATAATCTGCAAACCATCTCCTTCCAAATTGGTAATTTTGATGTATTTGGTGTGGGAACCTGCGGCTACCAATGGGATTTGTTTGTGTACCGAAAGAGCTGTCATGCCCCGTTGGACTTCAAAGCTGCGGAGACTGCCCTTCATGCGCAAGTCCCAGGTTCGCAATTCTCCATCCAGACTGCCGGACACCAATTCGGCTCGGCCATTATAACTTACTAACGACAATTCCACAATCCAACTTGAGTGCTCTGCGTACTTGTCTTTGCGGGGTGTCCTTCGTCTTGCATCCATGGGTAGAGCTCCCGTGGGAGATCGAATGTCAAAGAGTTTTAGCGAGCCATCCGAATGGCCAGCCACGACGGTATTGGGGCCCATGCCCATGCTTCCCGAGGCGGCTATTTCCAATTCATAATCCCAAGCAGTGCACAAGGTAGTGACGCAAGCGTCCGTGTTGGTGGGGAGAGTTCGAGCGCACTTTTCCGTTTCCAAGTCCCAACAGCGAATATATTTAGAGTTTCCTCCAGCAATTAACTTGTTGCTGTGTTGTTGCCTGATGTACAATAAATGGAGCAGTAAATGTAAGCATGAATTTTCGAAATGGAATAATATAAAAACAATTCAATCCAAAGGACATACCATTCGCAGAAGAGACCACTACCACCAGGTCCTCCTTCCCCAATGTCTGGAGCCGCGTCAAAAGTAGACAGCAACGACGGACCTCCAGATGCAATGTATCCATTTCGTTCCAATGTTCCATCCCATATCCGAGCGGATCCGTCATCACAGCCAACAAAGAATAGATTCCTTGACGATTCATTGATCCAAAAGGCAGCAGTCATTCGAGTATTTTTGGGGTTCCCATTGTTGAAACAGAGCGCCCGGTTTCCATTTTCATAGTCCCAAAATGAGACACTATCTTGATCATCACATACCATCAAGACATCCTCATAGGAGTGGAACTTGAGCATGGACGTCATTGTGTGTCCCTTGTTCCGAAATACTTTGGATTCCTTTACTCTGAGTGCATTCTTCAACGCCAAATCTTGGGCTTCTGCTTCTTCATCCTCGCTATCGTCCATATCGTCAATATAGGGCCCTCGTTCTCGTTTGGCTGATTTCTTGGGTCTCAAGTTTTCAAAGTGTTTTGCTAGCTTGCGAGCCTTGTACAATACATTGAAATTGCGTTGCTCCTGGTACGCCAAAAGCGCACCCGCTGGATTCAAGGGATCCAAGTCCTCCAGTTCCTTCTCTTCAGCATTTTCGATATTGTCTGGGAAGGTTTCCACTTTCCAGGAATAGAAGGTGGACTTGGGAAAGATGTATTCGTTCTTGCTCTTCTCTGAGTTGACGTCGGGGGAGTTCACAAGACCACTCAATGAGCTTGTCGAGTGTTGGAGGCCATTGTTCAGAACGATTCCGCTTGGGGACATTCGTCTTAACGAAGTGGAGCTGCTGGCAGATCCAATTCGTGGAGACAACATCTTGGGCGACGATTGAATGCTATCAATGTCAGTTCCGATTCCTTCTTCTTCAATGCCATGAAGTTTTTCTTCCAGTGATTGCTCTTTCTTTGCCTTCATTCGGAGGTCCATCAGTTGATCATTCACAAGACTCATCAGTGTCATCACAACCTTGACCACATTTGGATGCGTCTCCCTTTGTTGCAAACCCTTTAAAGTTTTCCAGCAGACTGCCAATCGGTCCAGAGCCACACGATCAAAACCTCGGGGGACAGTAGTGACGTTTTGGGCCTCCGTTTCGCTCGCATTGGATTTTTCAACAGATTCTTCAGCCACTACCAAAAAGGCTTCAATGTACTTTTCTACGAAATTGCACAGCGCCATGGTGGCTTCATGTCGTACCAAAGCACTTCCATCAACCAGCGCGTTGCATAGAGCTTCGGAAACTGTAAGATCCAGGCCGGTTCGCTGTCTGTTTTCGTACACAGCGCGAGTCGTCTGTTGGGGCAATAGACTTTGCTGCATGGAATTGTCAAGCTGTGATCCGATAAAGGACGTATTACGATCCGGCGAAAATGGTGTGGACGCCCCCAGAACGTTTCCGCCAGCCCGCTGTGGGCTGAACATGCCTTGCTGGTTCAGGAAGGGAACTCCAGAGGAAAGCTGTTGTCCTCCCAAACGAAGCCCCCGTGATGTTGCGCCTATTGGACTCAGCATCGAAGGCTGTCCTCCAGGTTGAAGTTGCGGAGTAAGGCCTTGTATCTGTGGTTGTAGCTGTGGCTGAAGTGGCTGTTGTTGCCGCTGCTGTGGCTGCAGTTGGTTTGATATCGCCCCTGGCTGATGCGTTTGCTGCTGGTATTGACGCCCTTGTAGTCCAGCTGACAATGCCGAAGACGATGTTAGTCCGCTGGGAATAGTTGAGATGCCACCAGGCATCCGTTGTTGACCAAAGCCCTGTTGTGGTGACAGCAATTGCTGCTGTTGTTGCTGCATCATTTGCTGCTGCATCATGCCAGCATTTTGAGGCTTGAATGTTGGCGGTGGAAGGCCAGATGGTCCCAAGTTCATTGGAGGCGGGGCTGTTGGAGCTGCATCAGACGAGTAGTCAAAGAGGCATCCAAGTGCAAATGCACATGCGGCTCGGACACTGGCAGCATCGTCGTCCTCCAATCTGGATATCAAACAAGAGTGCATATTCGATTTATAGGCTTCTTGCTGTGCAATTGGGTTGCCTTGTATCATGTTGCCCATGCAGGTGCAGATCCATTCCCGATTTGCCGATGGCATAAGTTGTGAATTCAAGGTATCATAACCATTGTCGTCAATCTGCTCTTTTAACTTCACATAATTCGAGATCAATGAGCAACAGTGGCCATGCAAATTCTGCCTCATACATTCAAGTTGGGCCTTTGGATGTTCGTGGCAAGTTGCCGCTAACAAAAAGGCAGCAAAGGTTCGCTGTTTTGCTGATGCCGCAGGGTCGTCTTCTGACCAAGCCGTTAGTGGCTGAATGAAATGTGGAATTGCTCCATCCTTTACCAGATCGGCCTTACAAGAGGGATCAAAGAGAAGAATGGATGCCCAAATATCCACCAACAGACTCTTATATTCTGACGATGTCAATAGCTTCATGACGTAGGGGAAAATCCCCAGACTTAGCGCCAGATTTACCGCCCAAGGTCCCAACGCTAGAAATCGACGAAGCAACTCCAAGGCCCGGGTACGATACACTTGTGACAGCATGACTTGCAGTAGTACAGGCAGTTGTTCTGGGGAATCCAATTCCTCCAGGCGATCCTTGTGAATTGAAGCATATTCCAACCAAACTTCAAAGGCTCGCAGTTGTTCTGAAAAGAATGGTGAAGACGCCGAGGACATTGATGGAACAATAGGCTGACCTGTCGGTTGCAGCATCATTTGTTGTGGCACTGTTGTTTGAGCGATTGGCACGACAGGCGGGGTGGTGATTGGACTGGAATGATTGGAAGGTATGGACGGGATTCCTGACGAATTTTGATGGTGGTGCGTAGGCTGTGTTTTCCTTGGTACTACCACTGGCTGCAAAATTCCATCGTGAATCAATCCAAAGAGGCAGGTCTCACAGGCCAAGTCCCAAGCCTGCCACAATGGATGATCGGCGACTCCTTGTGGCAAGGGTGGATAGGATTGCGGAGTACAATTCAGACTTCTGAGGATTCGATCTGCCAAGAGAAAGTTGCGAAACATGGATGCCAAAAGCAAATCTTGACGAAAGAGTCGTTGGAAGAGTGGCATGGGCAAGACATCCCAGGCAATACTGTCTGTGACTGCTGTAAAGATCCAATTCAACTCTCCCATTGGTGTCTTGCGGTCGTTTGGTTCTCCTGGAATTGAGTCCACCGACTCTGGATCAATGCTGCCCATGGAGTGCTGGTTGCGTCGAACAAACCACCGAAGGGCAATCTTGATTGGTGTCGTTAGACAAGATGTAAAAATATCAGCTGGATAGTCCGGATGCATCGGAAGACCCTCATTCTCCGATGTTGGACACAAGACGATTGTGTCCTTGACCCAATTGGATGCAGCCGTATCCATATCAATTCTATTGTTGTTGTTGTTGTTGTTGTAGTTGTGGCCTCTGTCTCGGAAACTGTTGGAAGGATTTCGAGTGGGCGTGCCTGGTTGGGGTGTGTTGGGAGGAGAGTTCTCCGACACGGGTCGTGTCAAGAATGGTAGCAGGACACCCGCACTGCTGCAGTCCAAAATAATAATGGTCGGCTTGCCCAGCCATTGCCTCAAATCAGACACAGAAAGAGGTATGTATTCGGTATGATTTTTGTCAAAAACCCATATTTCCCCATTGGGCGTTGGTCTTGGAACTCCGTGTCCATTGTAATGAAATAGAACTCGTTCTTGGCGGGTCTGTTTCCTGAGCCACAAGCAGAGTGCCCGGACGTCTTCCACGGTAGGATCGTGCAACCGCCGGTACCGCAAATTTCGAGTGGATCGCTGCTGTTGCCACTTTTCGTATTGGGCCTGCAGTCGCTCGGCAATGTCCGTAGCCGCCTTGGCTCTCGACACAGACGATGGGTCCATCCAGCATTGGAGTTTGGCACATGGATTTGGTTTGACAATATCCGGAGGATCCGTTCCAACATTAAGTGCCAAAACTAATGCAACTCCAACCGTCTTCATGCGGTCCCGCAGTCGCCAATTGGGTTTCAAGGCCAAGGAAGACAAGGCGGACTGTGGATTGCTTGGAGTCCATCTCTCGTTCTGCTCACCACCTTCCCCATTTCCATGTTGCGAAGGAGACATATTGTTAATGTCACCTGGAGCCAAAAATGTAGAATTTTGCAATGATAATCCTGATGCCGAAGAGTGCATCGACAATTGATTCTGCGAGGGAAACCGAGACCCAAAATTGAACGAAGATACTTTCTCCAGAACTGACTGGGATCCTCCTCGTCCTCCCGCCACATCAGCTTCTTCCATGCCTATCTTTTCCGAAACAACCTCCAACCCAGGTTTGACTTCTAAAAAGGAAGGAACCGGGTTTGTGTAGATTTCCTGGGTATGCATCAACAGAGGTTCGGCCGAGATGGAGGAAAAACTACTACTGGACGGCGATCGTTGGCGGCCGTAGGACCGAGTTCTCCGCCCACCGGACATCATGATGATTGATGATGATGATCCACTTTAGTCCCAGTAATATTATGGTTGCCCAACTAAATAAATAAATAAAAGAATCCAGAATAGGGGCTGCAGACAACAATTGATTCATTCATTCACAACGAAACGCTTTCAGCAAATCCAAAATAGCGGTCCCCAATATCCTCGAACATCTGGATTAAAATGTGCCCCCGCTACATGTCCCCTTCCTACTTTTCATCCCGTACAATACCCCCAAAAGTTACGGGGGATTTGAAAGGAGATGCCTTATTTTCGAACGACGGAGAGGCACGATCCCCCAAAGACCCAACCTCAAAACTCTCTGCTTTATTATTGTCAACAACGTTACAACGTTACAACGTTACAACGTTACAACTCAACAAGTCGGGCATACCATAGGAAACGGCATTAGTTGAGTGCTACACCGCCATCATGGCAATAAGAGAAAGCAATAAGAAAGATATCAATAACCATATTAGCAGGAGATAGCAACGGTATCCTTCTGCAACAAAGAGAATAGGACGGGGGGATACATCATTGGATCAATGACCCTGGATCGATCCTCACAAAAATGGGGCTTTGCTTTCATGCTATCCGTGTTAGCATTATCCAATGTTATACATCCTGTGGTGAATGATCCTACAAGAATGTTTGAGAACCTACCATATGATCTCTTTCCACAGGGAGTTTTGAATAATCAAACAGCATCGGAATCGCCATCATCACCGAATGCTGATGTCTCCAACAATCCTTCATCTGATGCCAATAAGATGATCACAGAAAATCAAGCAACGATACCTTCGGAGCACAGCAGTGCCACCACAATAGAATCGAATTACTCTGCTTTGGACCATGTGGTCATGCGCTTTCGAAACGACCCCTCCTCGGTTACAATCCAACCAAATTCGGTACCCGTCATGTTGTGGCCCTTTCAAGATCAAGGTTGGAAAGTCGACAGTGCCGACATGACCCACATTGAGACCAATGGTGTCCAAGAGTCTTCAGTATTGTATCTAGCCCCCAAGGCAGTCCGAACCTTGGATCCCAATGTCGTTTGGTTGACCGATGTCAAGTTCCCACCGTCGGAGTGGTGCAAACGATTGACCCAAAAAGCTGAGCTCACGAAAGCAAGACGCCAAGCCGCCGGTTTGCCACTCCAGTGGCCCATTTTTGTGGTGGACTTTACGGATCAACGAACCTACCATCGCTGCAAAGGATTGGAACTGATTGTGGGCAAGGAATTTATGTTTTATTCCAAACGATCTGTGGTGGTGGATCGGGTCTTTGATTCATCACAAAATTGGGTTACGCTGGGAACCAAAGTATTGGAGCAACGCAACATGACGTATGAGCACATGCCCTTGGTGGTTCGAACGGACATTGTGGAAATTTTGAAAAGAATCTTGCTGCATCGGTACAACAAGACCAAGTTGTCCGATCCAATTGAAACTCTATGGAATCGTTCCGTCGACATTGCTCACTATTGGCCCAGCGATGGTCGGAGTGGGATTGGTCGATTTCAATCGCAATTGCGGGACAAGGTCAGTCAAACGATTGAAACTGCTCTTCTTGGCACCACGAAACAAATCTTTGTGGGCGTGACGGGCACCGCCGACCGACGAGGCCGCCGCAAACCTCAAACTGCCTATGTACGACACATGTTGACGACCAAGATTGTGGTCGTCACCCAGCGAGACGAATGGGAAGGACATTATCGTTTGTATGAAGCCCTGTTGAGTGGTGCCATGGTCATGAGCGATCAAATGCTCATCTTGTCTCGATTGGGGTTGGAAAATGGGACATCGGTGATTGAATTCGACAGTGAAACAAGTCTGATATCCTTGGCCCAATATTATTTGGACCACAACAGTGAGCGTCAAGCCATTGCATCCAGAGGAAGACAGATTGCCATGTCGCGGCATCGATCGTGGCATCGAATGGAAGAAATTGTCTTTGGGAGTATCGTGACCAAATGCACTGCAAAGGAATGTCCGTACATTGTGCATGGAAACGAGTCGTCAATAGTATCAAGCTAAAAAAGAACACAGGTTTTGAAAGAAGAAAAACAATTATTTGTTGTTTATGTTTTGTATTGTAGGATTGCATTCGTAGGACTAGTCCTACTATAATGGATGTTTTGTAAAAAAGAAAAAAAGAACGAGAGTGGACACAGGTGTTGGAATGATCTTTTGGGAGCGCAATTTTGGCAGCTCGAATGGCACTTTTTTCTGGGTAATGTTGATGTGCGTGTGTTTTGTATTTGCGTTTGCTTGTTTGTTTGCTTGTTTGTTTGTTTGTCCCAGATAGTACAGTAGTGGTATTGACAGATCTTGTCAATTTTGTATTTTCCCCCTTGACAAGAAGGTACAAAGGTAAAGATATTATTGATGGAGGAGAGGGATCCAAAGATATGGATCTTTGGTTGATGTTTGTTCCAACATGGAAGGTGTAAGGCCAGACGGCTGGTTGATCGGAAGCCGTCCGCGACAGCTGGTCGAAAGAGTCGAGCGTGACATCGCGCGGTATGGAAGGAAGAAAGAGTGCAGCTTAGGAGGCTACCGATGCTTGATCGCTGTCGTCTTCATCGTCTTCACCGTCGTCTTGGTTATCGTCATGTTCCGTAGAGTCTTCAATGTAGAGTTCATTAAAGAGAGGAACCAAGACATTGTAGGTCGAAGTGGGCAAATAGAGAACTTCAATGTCGTCCTCTTCCGGATTGTCGTTGAGGATGGAAACCTCGTCCAACCAATCAAGAGGGACCTCAACTTCAGTGGGAGTTTCGAGAAACGACATATCCAAGAGCGCTGCAGAAGCAGCCGTTCCCCAGGATCGTTCCGAAGTCTGGTCTTGTTTGGGAGTACTGTTCCACAATCCATAGTCCTTTTGGCCTCGAAAGGCGAGCGATAAACTAGCTTCTTTGTGGTCTTTGGCGTTGCAAGGGGATGCCGTGGACCATGGATTGTCTCCTGGAGGAGAATAGAGTGCAGTCACAGCGGCAGTCATCTTTCGTCGGTTTTCGTTGTTTTTCGGTTGTTGTTTTTCAGTCGTTGATAATTTGCACGTTTCAATGGATGCTGGGAGCGGTCAAGGATGCTTGGAACGAACGGGGATTGTTTCAATTTGCCTGCTGCTTCAATGACTTAAGATTACACACTGCTCTCTTCTTTGCTGTGGTGTCGCTTTGTGACAATCGGTTGTTGGACGGGTCTGAATGCTCTACTATGGATGTTCGAGTGATGGATTCTCAAACCCACAACAAATACAGTTTTTGAGATGATGCCAATGGTGGACTAGTTATGTGGGGCCACTCCACGATCCGTATGCCGCTCGAACCGTGTGGCGCGCGAAACAACTTCACTTGTGATGGACTGGCTGCCTTCCACGGAAGGGGTTTCGATGATTTTGTAGCGCTTGTACTGCCCTCCACGTGTTGCTGGGAATGTCCGTGCCACCAAAAACGCATTGGTTTCTTCGTAGAAGTCTACTGTCACTTTGATTTGGAATCAGCTAAATATTTCAACGTGAGTGATTTGTGTTTTGGGCGCAAATTCGCGAGAGAATTTCGAAATTGGTGCAAAACCTTCTGGAAAACCTTCTGTTGTTCCAAGCTGTCCACCAATCAAAACGACAGTCCCCAACGCGCTACAGTAACATGACCATGTGAAAGGACCATTGAGTATTTTAATTTAAAAAATGGAAACCAAGATGATACTGTAGAATATTAGGAAGTTCTTGATATCATCAGAAGGAACCATCTCATGACTTCATCTTGCATTATTCAATACCGAGTTATGTCTCTCTTCTTATTCCATTGTTGAGGAAATACTACTACAGTAAAGTATGCCAGTACTGGTACTAGTATGATAAAACATTACTGGTTAGAATATTTTATCAATACTAGCATTTATTAATAATCAATATCTACTGCTTTTTTTTTAAGAAGCATAAGTCAAGCCACCTCCGTGTTCCTTGGTCCATTCGGCATTGTCAAATGGATCTCCGCTCCATGACTTTTGAAAGGCAGCCTCGGCATCAAAGGATGATGGATCGTCAATTCTGTCTTCAATATCCTTCTTGAAGTGTCTCAACAATCCTTGGACTGGCCAGGCAGCAGCATCACCCAAGGCGCAAATGGTTTGTCCTTCAATCTGTCGAGAAATCTCTTCCAACATGGGAATTTCACGCTTGTCAGCATCACCCTTTTCCATGCGAATCAAGACATCCTCCAACCAAGAAGTACCCTCACGGCATGGTGTACATTGTCCACAAGACTCGTGCTTGTAGAAATGAGAGAGACGGCGAATGGCCCCCACCATGTCCACGGTATTGTCAAACATGGTAACGGCAGCCGTTCCCAAACCAGATCCTCTGGATCGCAAGTCATCGAATTCCATGATAGCTTCGTCACAGTGTGCCTTGTTCAAGACTGGGACGGAAGATCCACCTGGAATACAAGCTTGGAGGGAGTCCCATCCGTTGCGCATACCTCCGCAGTGCTTTTCGATCAACTCTTGAAGAGGAATGGACATGGATTCTTCCACCACGCAAGGGTTCTTGACGTGTCCAGAAATTCCAAAAAGCTTGGTTCCACGATTGTTCTCGTTACCAAAGGAAGAGAACCAGCTAGCACCACGTCTCAAAATGGTGGGAGAGACAGCAACGGTCTCCACATTGGTGACGGTGGAGGGGCATCCAAAGACACCAACACCAGCAGGGAATGGAGGCTTTAGGCGAGGCTTTCCTTGACGGCCCTCAAGAGACTCGATCAAAGCAGTCTCTTCACCGCAAATGTAAGCTCCTGCTCCACGATGCAAAAAGATATCAAAGTCATAACCCGATCCACAGGCGTTCTTTCCAATCAAACCAGCATCATATGCTTCGTGAATGGCTTCGTCCAAGACGACAGCCTCATTAAAGTACTCTCCACGAATGTAAATGTAAGCAGCTCTAGCTCTCATGGCATATCCAGCCAACAAACATCCTTCCACCAACTTGTGGGGATCCTTGCGCATAATTTCACGATCCTTGCAAGTACCGGGTTCGGACTCGTCGGCATTGACCACCAAAAAGGAAGGACGACCATCCGTTTCCTTGGGCATAAAGGACCACTTGAGGCCAGATGGAAAGCCAGCGCCTCCTCTTCCTCGAAGACCCGAATCCTTGATTTCTTGCACGATCCAATCGGGACCCATGCACATGATTTCCTTGGTCATATGGTAGTCTCCACGCTTGAGAGCATCCTTCAAACGCCAATCTTGTTCACCGTACAAGTTGGTGAATATTCTGTCCTCATCTGTGAGTCCTTGGTACGTACTACAATATAGTTAGTTTGTGATTAGTTGGTTTGGAAGAAGAATTCAAAGAATGTGAGCAACTCTAGTCTGAGAAATGTGAAACGAACGAAGCAGTCCATCATGGATGACCACCATCACCATCATCTTCCAACAAAAGTAAAGATGCTTTGTTGTTTTCCAAATTCCGTCTACTAAATTGAATGTAAAGAATCCACCATCCATTCTTCCGACACATACACTCAACACTCATCATACATTCCACATGATGCAACTCACCCGCTTCCGGCAAGAACCTCGGCTCCCGAAGACAAGGAACGGATTCCCTTTTGAGAAACCGCCTTGACAGCCCGACGAGAGGCGGATATTAGAGACATGGTGAACGTCTTGATTGATTGATTGATTGATTAAAGTTTGACAGAACAACCAACAAAGCACCAGAATGTCGCTCTATTGCCTGAATTCGCTGCGGCTGATGCAGGCAGGCAATAAGGAAGGTCTTTCCTTTTGGCTGTACAGTATGTAGGATCGTACTACGGTCGTACGTATTATTTTGGATTTGAAGAAAACAGAACGTCCGTACGTGTATGCTGCTTTCGGGCGAATGCAAGACCTCGGCGGATTTCGAAAAAGGAAACGTGGAGAAGATCTGTCATCGGATTGATGTCATTATTTTGTGAATGGAATGTTCCATTTGTTTTATATTCAATATATATTACAACCAATTTTCCTAACACACCACAGCTACTGTACATTGCACTACAAAGCTTCACCATTCACTAACATTAACTATAATGAAGAGATGTTTCGTCGTTCCAACAATAGAAGCAACAGAATAATACTCTCATCACACCAACCTCATCGTGTTCTGTGCATAATAATCCTTTTATTCTTGGTGTCATCCTCCCTACTCCCAGAAATATCGGCACAAACACAACAATTGGAATGCAACCCAACTGAGCCCACAAAGTATGATTGGGAGAATTGGAACTACTATCAATTACTCGAATTGAAGTATGATCCATACAAGAACAATAATAATAAGAAGAAAAACAAAGAATCAAACAAGGATGTAGGAGTATTGGACACGAAAGAAATCAGAAAGGCGTACCGCAAACAGGCACAGCTTTGGCACCCAGACAAGCACAACAACGCTAGCAACCAGAGTTCGGGAGAATCCAAAAAGAAGAAAAACAAAAGGAAAGCAACTTCCAAAGATGAATTCACGGCTCGGTTTGCAAAGATTGCCGAAGCCTATGAAGTCTTGAGTGATCCCCAAAAGAGAGACGAATACGATTTGTTCTTGAAACATTGTCGACAAAGTAACCCAAAAAGCAGCAGCAGCAGCAAGTGGTCCTTTCGCTTTCAAAAGTTCATGGATCCCATGCAAGTCTTTGAAGAATTCTTTTTTGGATCATCACCATCATCATCATCATCCAAACAAGACCAATACGACCCAGAAGCAGATTTCTTTTCCAACTTTTTTGAATCCTCTTCGGAAACCCAAAAGAATACCAAACGGCAATCGCAGCAACAGCAACAACAACAGCAACAACAACAACAACAACAACAAAATCAAAAACCCATACGATCCTACCGACATGAAGAATATCTACAAGATCCATATACAGCCGAAGAGATTGTTCGAATCATGCAAACGGAGGAATATGCTTCCACCGATCCAAACACTGGCAAGTTCTTTTCACGAACCCAAGCCCAAGAATTCAAAAAGACTTTTGATCCCTTTACGGGCATTTCTTATTATCCAGTCTCGGAACCCTACATATTAGAAGAGGGTTACCGATATCCTTCCGAACAGCACCACTCTCGTACTAGTGGTACTAGTAGTAACAAGAGCCGCCGCCGATCATCCAAGAATCAGAAGAGTGCCCAAACGACGGTACTCTATCCCGGAGACGTCTTGACGCCACGATCTACGTTATTGGTGTCACCCAATCAACGGTACTATGCCGGTCTATCTCCGGAATGCGAATTGTTGGTCATGGCGGACAAGGGCACTGGTGGCGGTGGAGAAGAAGACGATGTCATTTGGTCGTCCCAAAAGCAGCTATTCCAACAAGCCAACAATCGATGCTTTGCGACCCTACGGGGTCCTCATTTGGTGGTGGGCATGGAACGACCGGGTCATTCTCATCAAGTCTTGTGGTTTAGCGAGGCCAGTGATGAAGATGAAGAAGAAGATCAACAACAACAAGAACAACAACATTCCACCTATTTGGCGCAATTGGACAATGACGGATCCTTGGTGGTCTACAAGGTTTGGAATGTTCCGCATCGAAGATTTTATTCACTCAAAGAACGGGCGTATGCTGCGGCTGCCAACTTTATCAAGGGACAGACCAAGGCAGAGTACGATGTATTGTATTCGCCCTTTAGCGTGACCTATCGCAAGTGTATTTATGCCACGGGTCCATTGGGTTGCTTTCGTGTGGCTCGTCGACTATACGAATTGAGTTTGACAATTTACTACACAGTAAAGGGATTTGTCACCAAGGTGGACAACAAGTTGGATGAATTCATGGAACTCATGCTGGAAGAAGATGACTTTGTGCGAGTCCTCCAGTCGAGTCTGTGGAACAATGGGTCGTCGATTGGTACCAAGAGTGCGAGATTGATGCGAAAAGTCATGCAATATTTCATGGTGCAAGCCAAGTAGTGGAATTGGATGCAGATGGATCCATGGATCGATGGATAGAGTAGAGGAGGAAGGAAGGAACAGACGCTTTCTTCCACGACAACAACAAACAAACAAACAAACAAAGACAATAGATGCTAAGCGAGTCGGTTTGTACAATTAGTTATACATTAAAAAGCCATTAGGAATCTACAACAAGAATAGAAAGAGAGAACTACAGTACAGTACAGCACTACTTGCTCAGTAGCGGATGCCATCCATTCCAGTTGGGTGGAGCCACACTACCTTGTGACTTCATGAAATTGATCAAATAGACTGTGGGGCCATCGGAACATTCGCGACTCAGCTCTTCTCGATCTGGTGGCAAATCCGTTTCGTCATGCAGATACCCTTCGTCAAAGGCAGCATCAATCATGTGGTCATTGGCCTTGGTCAGCTGCTGAATGGCTTCAGGCCAATCACCATCCAAGTACAACTTCATACCCGCGTTGAAACACTTGGTAAAGTCTTCCGTGATGTGATGCTGCATGGCCTTTAGATCTTGATCGTCATTCCAAATGTTCTCATTGTACCGCTCTGCATCCATATCCGCCAAGTCCTCTGACTGGTGGTACAAAAAGAAATCAGCTCCCTTGTACCGAGCATCGTATGTGTAAATTTTTTGAACCCAGGTACTTCCTTTTACTGTCACACGGTCCAAACTACGCAACTTGCTCTTGGCAACATTCGACATCAGTTCTTGGACGGCTTCGCTGAGCATGATGGTTACTCCATATTGCTTGCAAGCCATCATCATCCGGGAAGCCATGTTCACGTGCGGTGACAAATAGGTAGCATCGATCTTATATTCACTTCCAACTGCTCCTTCCACGGCCCATCCGGCGTCCATTCCAAAGACCATGTTGATGTCAAAAGTACCAACACCGGCACTTAGTCGGAAGTCACGACCATAGGCCATCAGCTTTCGGTCACGATGGATTCCGGCAAAGGATTTGAGCATTCCAATGACAGCACGATCCGTAAACGTAGAAATACCGGGAAGCGACTGAAGCGACAGTTGCATGGCGTCTGCGGCTCCATGATGTCTTTGAATCTTGCTCGTTCGGCGAAGCCTCTGGATTCCTTCAAAGGATCCACTTTCTCGCTTCAGAGACCTCTTTCGAACAGTCATCTTTTTGGTGTCCGATGACGAAAACACAACCTTGGTAGCTTCTTCAAGCTTTTCGAGGACCTCCTTCACCAAACCAATACGAAAGACCATAAGGAATGCTTCGCCCAGGTTTTTGTTGCACTGGCCAGAGTCTTCAAATCCCCAGCGGAATACTTCTCTATGCAGCACAGCGGCTACATCGTTTATCAGAATCATAACATCGCCGCCCAAGGCTCTCAGACAATGGTCAAAACCATTGATTGCAGCGAATGCAAAAAGAGCATAGACAGACTTTCCTGGAACGGTAGGGTTGAAAACCTCTGCCAGTGCGGTTTCTCTAGAAGCAAGATTGGTGGAAATAATACCAGCTCCAGCAACACCTTTTGGGGAATGAAGGCAAATCGAGAATTAATAAAACGGATTCACATCATTCCAAGCGACAAACAAATGTACTTACCCCAACACTTTCGCAACAGATCTGTAATCTTTGCAACGGCTCGGATGAGCTGTTCCGTTTCGTCCGTTTGGAATTCGCCATCCTCATCATCTGAAAAATCATCTGATTCGGAATCGCTAAAGTCCACGCCGTACTTTCCTGGATTTTCTTCCGACAACGGATTCTTGGCATAACGAGCAACAATCTTCAACATGCTTCGTAACGGTCCGAGGACGTTTCTCTTGGCATCTTTTCGTAGCACAATGAGACTGGTCATCACCGTCAAAACGAGACACAACTGAAGTAAGAACGAGCTTAGCGCACTGTTCTCCATTGCTCTGGTATGATTGAAAAGAGCCGTTACAGAATAAATCTCATCGCCTCCATCTTCGGCAAAATGCTGTCTTTGAATGTTGCCAATTCGAATGTCTTGCTCCCAGAACGCTTTGCTGTAATGGAATTGGCTGCAGTTTCCAGGAAAGTCAATCTCGTATTCCCAGGCTCCCAGTGTTTCACATTCCACTTCTTGGTAGATGTAATCCTCCAGTTGCATCGATTGGAAATTCTCCAGACATCGGGCGGGACTAATGGCCAAGCCGAGCAAGTACTTATTGGTGTCCGTGGTAGTTAATGTCTTTTCCATGTAATCCCAAGAGTTAATCCAAGATCTCACGGTGTCCTCCAAGAAGGCACAGTTCGTATCAGAGGTGGCATTGCTGCCTTGAAGCATGAGATTGGTTCCTTGAAGTTGCCATGCCATGTCGCTTGCCACCGTATTGGTAATCCCAGAAAAGACCAACAAACTGATCATAGGGAAGACTCCCGTGATAACGCAAAGTAGGGTCATGGCACGATAGGAGTTGGTTACCATCAAGGCGGCTCCAATGTTAGAAGCATTGATCAAAGAAATGACACCTCCTTCTTGTTGCTGCTGCATTTGCTTAATGGTAAGTCGATGGGTATTGTCGTCTGAGAGGAATCGATCCGAGCTGTCCACATTCTCCATTACAGTATCTTCGTTTTCTTGCTTGACCAGAGCCCGAATTTCCCGAGGAGACAACCCAGCATATCGCTTGAGGAAATTTTGGTTGACCCAAAAGTTTCTCCAATGCCGCAGCAATCCAAAGACTCGCAATCGGACCACCGCGTGGAAAACCAACCCATATAGAGCATGGCGTGCGTCAGGACCCGAAATGGCTGCCATGCAAGCATGCATAAAGGAAAAGAGTGGTCGTCCATCGCAAGTCATTTCGAAGCTGAATAGACAAAAGAACTCCGGAACAAAGCACAGAAGCGAGACGGATTCCACAAACAAGTGGACTCCCGTAATATAGCGGACAGTGATAGGTGTGTAAGCCTTGTCTGATTCGATAAGGTCGTGGTAGCCATCCGGTCGGATAAAGACCTCCAAGAACAACTCAAGCACCAAGACAACCCAAATGGCAAAATTGACAATGGCCAAAACGTTGTCGTACTTGACGGAGATAAAGGCCAATCGAGCTTGGTCGACAAAACTGTACCACAGACTGCACAGAACAAAGAAGTTGACCATGGTCAGTCGGGTGGAAAGCTGGTAGGGCTTTGTGCCATTAAGGAACATCAGGGACTGCCTTCGAATGGCATCCAGGCAAGCGGATCCCCATCGATACAGCCGTGCTCCCGCAATGTAGACAAAACAATCGTAGATCCAAAAAAACGGCAGGAGAAGAACCACAAAGATACTCTCGAGTACCTTGACAACGCCTCGTTTCTCTCGCTGTTCCACTGGACTGGAAACCGCCGACAGGAGTTGTTCCAATGGTTCCTTGGCAGAAGCATAGTCCTGAGCTGCCTTTCTTGCAGCTGCTTCTCCTTCCTTCGATTCGAGTGGTTCCATCAGAGCTGAATAATTGGAAGGATTCTAAACGTTAGCACACATGGCCAGTCCTTTACACCAACAAAGCAATCGTAGCAACACTAACACTTACCAGGTGTACCTCGAACGTCCACATCGGTATCTGCTCGTCTCACAGTGTAAAATACAGAGTTTTCTTCAAAGTGAATCTGTTGAAGCTTTCCCAAGACAAACAGATAGGGCCCAGTCTTTTCTTCTGCCGTGCGTCCCTGTCCAGGAGGGAATCCAAATCGATTCACACAACTGCTGAATCGATTGTTAGAAAATACCAAGACAGCATCTCCTACCGAATATCCCCGATACAAGGTTTCCCGATTGTACATTTCGTGAAGTTCTCCATCATAGTCATCGTCCTCCATATTCTGGCCGTTCGTGCCAAAGGAAAAAAGGGTATTGGATCGTTTGGCAATGCTGGATCGGACCGTTTGCGATCGTTTGGAGACTTTGGCACCTAGACTTCCAGGCAAAATTATGGAGCTCAATCTTCCTGCCGGAGAGGCTTCAGTCGAGGACTTTTTGCTCACTTCTAGACTGTTGCTTCGTCGCACCCCACGTGTGGGAGAACTGGAGCCGTTACGGGATTTTTGGCTATTACGATTGAATGACCGCTGGTGAATGCTGTCGCGGGTTCCGTGATAGGAGTAACTGCTCAATTCGTCATTCTTCTCTCCACGCCACGAATGCTCCAAATCTTCATTAATGGCTCCGATACCAGAGCTCATGCGGCTTCCTAGTGTGGGAGAAGCTGACGATCGTTTGCCCTTGGGTCTTGGACCGTGATCAGACGCCGAACCCAAATCCATAGACGACGCGTTGTTTTTGTTGGCACCGCTGATAGATCGTCGGTTTTTCAATCCCTGTGCAAGTCGGCCAAAGGTAGAACCGGGGTTTCCTTCAGGAACATGTAGTGGCGCAGAATACGTCCGTCTCACCGGCTGTTTGTCCACTTCAAATTGCGACGAGCCAGCATTCGATAGGTCTTCGTCTAGAAACTCCGTGACGGGTGGAAGCGCAGAGAGGCCCGTGTTACTGTCCATTGCTGTTGTCGTCTAAAGGAAAGTCTCTGAATTGTGACGATTATTGGGGTATTTTGAATGTCTCCCGTTTCTCCTTGATTTTGGACCAATTTTCTCTGATTTCTAATATTGCAGGGAAAACCGAAAAAGAGATTATCCCAACAAGAATGTTATTGTTACAATAGTCGTTCTGTTAGATGATGATTCGTTGTTGATGCGGCTGTTGATGTATTCATTCAATAGTGTTGAAGCAGGGATCAACGAAACGGAAGAACGGTATTGCGGGCTGTGTGAAAAAGTATCGAAACCACGCGGCATACCAGAGTTTCAGAACACCAAACTAGGGGATGATTTATAAGGGGGAATAAATATATGTCATACAGTATCCCAGCTTTCGATTTTCAAAGCAGGAGTATGGAGCAATTATAATACTTTTTGTACCAGCACACAAGGAAATCGTATTATTGAAATATGAACCTTTATTGTTACAACATTATCGAATGAATATGGCATACTCTACGGCGCATTTCGAATGGTTTTGTGGTCGTTCAGGGAGTCTCGATTGAAACCAAGGCTGGCAATTCTTGAATCTTGACTACATTGATTTTTGACTCGTCATCTGGGTCCAGAGATTGGTCGTCCAAGGCCTCTTGTGAGTTCTCCAAGTTTTGTTTGAATTGCTCCAAGTTTTTTATTATTGTTTTGATGGTCTTTCGCCTTCGCACGCGGTACTTTTCGAATAGATGTTGTTGCTTACCCGACCAAACGGGTATCTCCTCGCTGATGATGGGGGTACTCGCCACAATCTTGACCTCCAGTGGATAGCGATCCTCTCGGACGGTTTCAATAGCAGCTAGAGGAAAGACAGTTCGGAGGCATTCAATCATGGTGCTCATTTCCTGCATACCGCCATCACAGTTTTGGCACTAAAATGGCAACGAACGGCATCCAATGAGAATTCCGGTCATAATCAAGCAAAAGTGACACATTGTATCGACTTACATAGGTAACGGTAAAGTTGGGGGATAGCAAAGTCATGATGCACTTTATGGAGATGTTTGAAGCGCGTTGAAAACTATAGACCTTTCCAACTCTCAAATTGTCCTGAAGTGTATTGTTGGTATAGCGCTCCTCGAATGTGCTGTGTGCCCAAGCAGACTTTGGATTCTGCTCAGAGATATTGCTGGGGACGCCTCGTCGAAATTTGTTGTTATGTGGTTGTGTGTCGTCAATCAGAGGACTTTTAAGTGGTTGCAATTTGTGTTACTGCCTGAGCAATCTTGGCAAAAATGTGCTCCCAGTTTGCTTCGGCGTGAAGTGAACATTTGGTTGTTCGCGGTTTGATATTTTTCTACACAAAAGTGCTTGAGCAATTTTGTTGGCGAAGCGTTTCACATGTTTTTTATTTGAGACACTTCTGTTTGTTTTTTTCGCGCATGGCGGCTGTGGTGGTAGAGTTCAAAGTGTCCGCCATCGTTCACATAACATTCACATCGCATCTTCGTCCGAGATCCTCCTGACTCATCCGACTCGTAAAACATCGCTGACGTTCCAAAGTGTCAGTCAGTCACGACGATGATCGACATCCAATCCAAGAATCCAATCAGTTGCAACGTTGGTTGTGACAACTCGAGTGCTTTAGATTGACAATTCTATAGTATGAAGTTGATCAACATCTTTGCCGCTGCCGCCTTGTGGCAATCGGCTTTCGGTTTCAACTTTATCGACATGGAACAAAAGCGGAAGAGTCTGCAACTATCATCTACATTGAAGGACGGTGATTCAAGAAGAGAATTCTTCGGCAAGGCTGGAGCTGCAGCTTTCTCCCTTTCCTCTGGACTTAGTCTTGAAGTATTGGCTCCCCTCCCTGCCAACGCTGTTGGAGGATTGGACAAGGTTAATGCTCAACTCAAGGCGTAAGACAACATGATTCATTGGATTGCATTCTGATTTTCGTCGGACACGGGTTCTCACTTGCAGTTCGGCTCCTTTTTTCCCCCTTTGACAACTACAGTTATGGTCTTCCACTTACATCAAAGCCACCAAGTGGTCTTAACCCCCTTCTTGAGGTCTACGGAAAGGGAAAGAACCGTTTCCCTCTTCTCGTTTTGATGAATCACCCCATCACCTGGGTTGTCACTCTTCCCAGTAACGATGTCAATGGTGAAGATGGTACCATCCAAGCTGGTGAATACGCCAAGGGAGACACTGCTACTTTCTTTGTTTACGAAGAACCAGGGCACGTTAATGTATGTATTGTAACGGAAAATGAATCCTGACGTGGTGCTATTTTGAACTATTCTCAACATTCCATTGATGAATGAATCATCACCCATTTCTTAACAGAACTTTGCCAGCGCTGGCAAGGACTTGTATGAAAAGGCTATTATCAAGTCCATTTCGCAAAAGGGAAACAACATCTACCAAGACTTCAAGATCACAAAGGTTGTCCCACAAGATCCCAACGACTACGGTGGCAAGGAATACGTCATCTGTGACTTTAGATACACTCTCTTGACAGGTGCTGGTTTCGAAGTCGACCGAAGAGGTGTTGCTTCTCTCACCAGTGAAGGAAGTGCTGTTGAAGTCTTGTGGACCGCCAGTACCCGAGAACGGTAAGTGATTCTTGCTGCAATAGCATCATTAGTATGTCCTTTATTATTATTTTTCCAAAGTCTAACAACAAGTTGTTTTCTTCACGACGTACACAGCTATAAGAAGACCGAGCCTACTCTTAGAGATATTGCCGCCAGTTTCCGCGTCTATGCCGATGGCCTAAACTTTTCCAGTGATCTGAAAAACTACGACTCAGTGGTCTAAAACATTACGATTAGTAAAGACTAGACATTCGCAACTCGATCTGCTACAATACACCCTCAGTTCGTCATTTTAAAATGCATTCAACTTTGCAAGTAATGAAGAAGATTAAACGAGTTAGAGCTACCTGATTGCTAGAATACACTGATAATACGATTTGCAAGGTTACAAAGAAAGTGATGTTGTTTAGTACTGTACAATTATTTTACTCGATCAGCAGCACAAGTGAAGAGACAAAAGTTCTGGGTGGCATCATCTCTGAACATTCATCTTTTAAAAATCCTTGCGACCAGATCCTTTCTCTTCCTTCATATCGAACATCAAAAAGTGACCAACCTCTCCATTCTCAGTTTGTTCGACCCCAGTGGCTTCAATCTCGAGTGGCTTTCCGTTGCCAGTGATCTCGCAAGCGTCGTGGCGCGCAACCATCTTTCCGTTGACTTTCAAAGTTCCTTCCAAACATACTAGATATGCTTGTCTTCCCTTGGGTAGGTCTACAGAAAGGCACTTGCCCAACTCGATTTCACCAGCACGGCAGTTCACATCTTGATTGAGCTTGACTGGAGTATCACTTGCGTTGTCCTTGGTGCTGGATGCCAAATGTCTGACTTCATTTCTTTTCAACTTGCCGCTGGCATCATATCCACCATAGTTTGGTTCCAGGCCACTTTTCTCCGGTACAATCCATGTCTGGATGAAGCGGAGAGGCTTGTCCGTGTGGTTGTGTTCCGAGTGTCGAATTCCAGAGCCAGCTGTCATGAATTGAATCGATCCTCTGCCCAACGATTGGGAGGTACCCGTGGAATCCTCATGCGTCAGCTTGCCATTGACAATGTAGGTGACAATTTCCATGTTGGAATGCGGATGAGCTCCAAAACCACGCTGGGGTTGCACCAAATCATCGTTGAGGACACGGATTACTCCAAAGTTGGAATTCTTTGGGTTGCGGTATTCCGCAAACGAGAAGTGAAAACGGCTCTTGAGCCAATTCTTGTTGGTCCATGAAGGATCCGAGCTTGGGTTTCCTCTGTTACCGAACCACATCGGGTTAGGCTCGGAAACATAAAGCTTGTTGTTGGGGATGACTTTGATGGTGCTCTTGGAAAAAAGTGTCATTTTGTTTGTTCTTGTTCCTTGTTGATTCGCTGTTTTCTACTGCGTGGGCTTATGATTTGAGTTGTAATCTTTTTGTGAGGGGATGTTGACGTGTTGTATTCTGCTGGGTGTTGGTCGTCATGGTCCTCGTTAGTCGTTAGCCTTTTTGTGGAACCAATTTTGAGAACAGTTCAAAATTCGATCGATGGAACTCTCCTTTGCTTCTTTTCTCCATTGTTGCTCTGTCGCGCGCAGAAAACCCGCGAAACCACTAACTTTTGGGCTCCCTCACCACCCATCAAAATCTGATGGGTTTTGCTTTTTTGGTTCCACAAATCTTTTTCAGGATGAATCTATCCACAGTACGCTTTGAGCTTTCTCCATGAAGTTCAATTATAAACTTCAGCGACTGTGTGGGGCCTACTATGGGAACCCATCCACCACCGACACCTTTGGTGGGAATGGACAAGGGAATGGTTCCAATCTATTGTACACCTCCAATGGAAACACTCTCATATCCTCAGTTTCCAACAGGATCCAAGTTTTGGACTTGAAGAGCAACACTGTGAGGACTCTTCCATTGGAAGCTCGTTCTAACATCAAGTGCATGGCTATGTCACCAAATGACACTCTCTTGCTTGTCGTTGACGTCAACAGTTACGCAATGATTATCAACTTTGTGAGAGGAGTCGTCTTGCATCGATTCAAATTCAAGAGAAAGGTTCGGTACGCATCCTTCTCACCATGTGGGCAATACATTGCTGTCACGCATGGAAAGCACGTTCAAGTGTGGTTTGCACCGAACCATTTGCGAAAAGAGTTTTCTCCACTCGTGCTCCACCGAACCTACACGGGCCAATCGAGTGATGTCACTCGGATTGAATGGAGTTCCGACTCTTCGGTAATCATGGCCTGCAGTCGCGACTGTACTGCCCGAATATGGACCCTCCATACGACTCGAGACTTTATCCCAGTGACACTGAGTGGTCACAAGACTCAAATCATTGGAGCCTACTTTGGATACGATGAGAAGAATCGCATCAATTCTGCATTTACGATCAGTGAAGATGGTGCACTCGTCACTTGGAATGCTAAAGTCGAGAGCTTCGAGCAGCAGCCTAAGGAAGACATTGACTTGCCACCATCTAATGAATTTGAAGCGCAAGTGGATGATGCCGTTGACTTTTTCAGCGGTGGGGCCAATCGCATTAAGGTTGACTTTGCGAATGACGATTTGACTCAGGGACATCACCTTGTCGAGATACGATGGGTGTATGGCGTTCGTCATTACTTCAACCAACAAGGAGCTAAAGTTGTGGTTACGTCGTACAACCAAAGTTCTAAACTTTTGGCCATTGGATTCTCTTCTGGAGTCTTTGGAATCTACGAAATGCCATCTGTTTCCAACATTCACACTCTGTCAGTGGGATCAGGCCAGCTCATTAGCTCTTGTATCCTTAACAGCACTGGAGAATGGCTTGCACTTGGTTGTCCAACCTCTCAACAACTACTTGTTTGGGAGTGGAGATCCGAGACCTACATTCTCAAGCAACGAGGGCATGCCTATGGCATGCGATGCATGGCCTACTCCCCAGACGGAGTTGTTGTCTGCACAGGTGGCGAAGATGGAAAGATAAAACTATGGAATGCTACTAGTGGTTTCTGCTACGTTACATTTGAACAGTCCCACCAAGCCCCCGTCACTGCTGTTTGCTTTGCCAACTCAAGCGTGGTCCTGACTGCCAGTCTAGATGGAACGGTGCGAGCCCACGATTTGCACCGATACCGAACCTTCAAGACTTTGACCACTCCCACACCAGTCCAATTCTTAAGTCTGGCAGTGGACCCATCAGGCGAAATTGTAACGGCTGGTTCCATGGATCCCTTTCATATCTACTCTTGGAATCTACAAACTGGCAAGCTCTTGGACGTTCTCACTGGCCACTCGGGCCCAGTCTGCAACATTGCTTATCAGCAAAGTGGTGGAACTTTGGCCAGTGCCTCTTGGGATGGTACTGTCAAGCTTTGGGATCTCTACAAGGGCGACATTCCAACTGAGTCGCTCCAACACTCTTCGGATGTGGTCTGCGTCGCCTGTCGTCCTGACGGCAAGGAGATTTGTTCAGGAATGATCAACGGTGTCCTGTCCTTTTGGGATGTCGAGAATGCCAAACTCAAGTACGAGATTGATGGCCGCCGCGACATTACGGGAGGACGAAAGATGAATGATCGCATGACGGCCAACAACAATGCGGCCTCGAGATATTTTACATCTGTCTGCTATTCTGCAGATGGATCTTGTATTCTTGCTGGTGGCAACTCCAAGTATGTTTGCATATACGAAGTGTCCCAGCAGATGCTGCTGAAGAAATTTCAAGTCACATTTAACCGGAGCTTGGATGGTGTTTTGGATCAGGTATGTAAAATTATTTGTCCTGCCGCAAAAGAAAAGTTCAACAAAGAGTACATTTTGTCTCCCTTCGGTGAAACGTGATGATGATGAACCCCCCATAAACGTTTGCAGTAATAGGCTGACGGGCGTGAGACCCCGCTGGAGTAAAACAACTTCCTTGGATGTCCGAGCGTTTCTCGAGGGACAAATATTACTCTTTGTTACTTCGCTGTTGCAACCATGGATTGCCATTCTTTCATCTCTTTTTCTCACATTTCCCGATCCTTCTTGCTCCTCTTTTCAATGATACTTTAGTTAAACTCCAAGAACATGACCGACTTTGGTCCCATGGACGACCATGCCGATTCTGGTGACGAAACCAATTACAATAAGATTCATCTTCCTGGCGCCAAGCGTGGAGACGATGGCTCTCGAAGCGGCAAGGTGGAAGTTTTGACGATGCAAGTTGGCTTTTCCTCCACTGGACGCGAGTGGGCAACGGTCTCGGGGGAAGGCCTCCATGTCTATTCACTGGACGAAGACATGATCTTTGACCCCATTTCGTTGACCGAGTCGGTAACACCGGATGCCGTCATGAACAAGTTGGAAATTGGGGAATATGGTCTCGCCCTTCGCATGGCACTACACTTGAACGAATTCAAGTTGGTCCGACGAGTCTTGGAAAATACTCCCTTTGCTTCAATCCCTCTTGTGGTCCGCAGCATTGGTCCTGAACAATTGGAACGTTTGTTGCAATTCTTGGGCAAAATCATGGACGGCTCTCCACATGTCGAGTTTTACCTCGAATGGTGTTTGGAACTGCTCAATTCGCATGGAATACACATGGACAAGTATCGAGGTCAATTTATGCGTGCTTTTCGATCCGTCCACAAGAGTGTCCAAACCAAGCACGACGAATTGAAAACGATTTGCAATGAAAATCGATACAATCTCGACTTTATTGAAGATCAGGCTCGATTAGTGACGACGACGACAGCAGTCAAGGCCAACGGAATGAGTGATGAATAGATGATCGTAACACTAAAGTTAGAAATAGATGTACAATTAGTCTCGAGAGATTCAATGCATCATACCAGGTACAGTACCGGCGAGATTAATTTTTTGGTATTGTTACTTCACGTCTGTCGTCCACCCATCGTTTCAAATTATAAAAATAGAAACGATACTGTTGCCAATTTTGAGCCGAAGCATCACGGTTCACAGTCGACGTGCAAGACACTCCGTTGATGAACTTCTTTGCTCGATAGGAGATTGATGATTTCTGAAGCCAGCTACTTTCTGCGTGCAATGCTCACAATGGACGAATCCTATTCCGTCAACAAGAACCAGAAACGGGTGTTGTCAATTAGCAGCACTACCGGTATGACATCAGCGATTCGTTCACCGGACCGAATACAACGGCGGTACTACAACGAAAAGGCTTTTAACAAGATCAGACAAATATTTCTTGGAGCGGATTGTCTTTCCGTGGACATCCAATCGCGATGAATTAGAATGGCAAATGACCTACGAGGAGCTTGTTAAGTTTCAACAGGAACACGGGCAAATACAATTTACTAGGCTGGAGCACCCAGTCCTCTACAATTGGATGTGTTATCAAAGGAAAAGGAGAAAAAATAGAGAATTCTCGGGCATGCCAGCACACCAAATCGAGCAATTGAATAAGATTGGTTTTCGCTGGGGCGACAAGGAGGATCGAGTGATTATATTCCATCGGAGCGAGTCCCGCCCAATGGTTTCCTCAACATTCTGACGACGGCAACGACAGTCAAGAGTCAAGGCCAGTGAAATCGTGCGATGAATAATATATGATCATAACAGTAATGCTAGAAATTGATATTCTATTAGTCTTGATGGATGATTTCCTTTGTCTTTCACTGGATACGGATCATATTGTCTTGGTTGGATTTTTGGTGAGAAACAATCTGTGACTTAAAAAGTTGCAGTGGAACCGTGATCGTACTTAACGGCCGCGAACGAAAGATCACTTCGCACATAAGTAGGAAACACCTTGGGAATCTTCTTTGCGAAGAAGAACCAGAAACGATTTGATCTGTGACCGCACTTTTCAGGCCCAAACAATCGAATCATTCATCTACAGTAGCCTTCTCTTCTTTGTCGGACCAAGTCTCCATACGATATTAGCTCATAAAAGTTGTGCATGAATGACTGATAACAATATTCGACAGCTGTCCTCCAACGAAAACAGCAACCAAAAGAAGATGCCAGCAGGTGACGACCACAACCCCCGTGCTTCATCATCACGTGCCAGCCGTCGTTCGGTCGCTGAACAAGAAGCCAAGCGACGTGCGGCTCCCACTTCAAGAAGCGTCCAACCTGGTGCTCAGTCGTCGAACCGCAACTCGGAGGTGAGCGTCGAAGCCGATTTGGAATCCCGCAACAACAATCGGCGCAGTCATCATCGTGATGGCCATCATCGACACAGCAGCCGGGACGAACCACGCGAATCAAGTTTAAGACGACATCATCAATCGAGCAGTCGTCACACTGCGGATCGTGACGAGCGTGACCGAGAATCCAAACGTCGAGCTGCTGGAGATGGAAGACGATCTACCAGAGTGGGAGCCACTTCGATTGCTTCGGAGAGTAAAGACGGACATCGAAAGCGCCGGGAAGACGACGATCGTCGTTCCAAACAACGAGCTCGGAGAAATGATTCGTCTTCCGGGGCATCGGCAGTCGTTCCTGGAGCGAGTCATGGAAGATCCGGTCCTGAGGATGCTAGAGAACGCAAATTGCGAGAAGCTGGATTGGGAATGGACGACGACGACAAGGCGACTACCAATAGCAAAGACAACAATAGTGAAAAGGACGGTATACAGAGATATCCTGATCTCGGTCATGGCGTCAATGGAGCAGCTCCGGTTGGCATTGCACCTGACGCGGCGTCGGTTGACGACGACGGTGCCATTCAAATTCAAGCTACTTTGGTAGAAGGCGACGACGACGAGGACAATGATGCTGAGAAAAATATTCAGGGCACCATGGCACGAGAAAATGAACGACTCCAGAGAGAAATGGCAGCCGACAACGAACGTCTCCGCCAACAAATGGAAGAAGATCGGAACCGATTACGAGAAGAATTGCAGCAATCCAATAGTAATCAAGGTATCGACGATCAAGATTCCAAGGCCAAAAAGAAAAAGGAGCGCGTGATTTTTTTGGTGGTCGTACTCATTCTCGTCGTGATTGCGGGTGGTGTCGGTGCGTTCTTTGGCACTCAAGGAAGCAGTGATGAGAGTGCGGCAGCTTCCTTGCCAGCAACTGAAGTCACGAACCCTCCCACGGTTGGCACTACGCCCACGCAAGCTCCCATTGCTCCACCACAAGCGACAGAGGCTCCTTCCGACGAAGATTGTACCAACATTGCCAATGCCGATCCTGTACAAGGACAAGACGAGGCCGAAGTCTATCAATTTGATACTATATTGGAAATGACCTTGACCTCTCAAACCGACGCCAATATCGCCCTGCCCATTTTGCAAGAACAAATGCAAAGTCGACTCATGACCAAGATTTCTGGTTGTTTGCCCGACCAACGACGAGGATTATCCTTGCGTGCCACCACCAAGCGTCGTCAATTGCAAGGCAACAAGTACGTTGTGCTCAATGCGCAAATCACTTCCATGTCAATACTCGAGGGCGAAAGCTGCAAGGGCAATGCTGGTGCGGATTGTTCCAAGGTATTGGCCAAAATGGACCTGTATCTACAAGGAGAAGAGCAACAATTTCTACTCATTGACCGATTGATTCGACTCTTCAATTCCGGCGGTGGAGACGAAGACGACGATTTTGATCTTGCCCGCTCCTTGGGATTGCCCAATGCCGTGGCATCCTTGGCCCTTGCTAGCATCTCTTCCAATGACCCCACACCGGCACCTTCCCCCACGCCGACGGATTTGCCCACGATCAGTTCTTCCACTGTACCCACGACCAAGGCAACACCTGGACCGACTCCTCCTCCGACACCTGGACCGACGCCTGGACCAACTCCTCCTCTGACACCTGTACCAACGCCTGATGCGACAACCAGACCTCCTCGACCAACGCCGCCACCACAAGAAGAGTGTACTGATATCTGTCGTGGCGACCAAGCCTGTGACAACTTTGATTTGGAATTGTTCGAATTGGGATGTGGATCCTGTATTGGGGACAAGAGTTGTTTGAATGCCGAAGCTGACATTGGAGAAAAATCCTGCCGAAATGGGTAAGTGAATTGTTTCTACTCGAAGATTGAAAGATTCGCAAACCCGTCAAGTGTCCCACTAATGATTGCATCTTTTTCTCCCTTCATCTGTCGTTACAGTGGATGCGAAGGCCTCAGTGGCGAAGTCGGCGACTTTTCATGTATTGGACGCGGAGCTTGTATCAAGACAGTGGATGTCACGATTGGTGACAATGCGTGTACTTGTGAAGGTTGTTGTGCCTGTATTCGACCAGGTGATACCGTTCCTGATGGAAGTTGTACCGCCATTGCGGAATCCGCGGCGGACATTGAATATATTCCATTTGAAACCTTCGAGCAAGTCGAATTCTGTTGCCTAGAGCGGAATGGTGGCGACAACGTTGATGATGAAGGTGATGAAGCAGACTTTGAAGAAGACGACGGGATTGACGAAGACATTGACACTCCCCCACCAGGAGAAGGAGGTGGGACTGCTCCACCAGGCGGTGGCGGTGGAACTCTTCCGCCTCCCAATTAAACGCAAAATGTCTAGAGACACTGGCAATACCAAATTGCCAACCAATCTACAGTACGATCGCCATTTACCTTTCCATCTACGGCGCTCTCAATAGGCGCCCTACAAAGGCGCCATATAAAGTGTTAATTATTATTAGAAATATATGGTTCCAAGTTGCTATTCCTTCAATGCCAAGGCAGTTGCAATGGCTGCCGTTATCACACTGGCAACATGTTCCTTGCGAAAGCCATACACAGCTGTTGCCGCACTGACATAGGAGACTTGATGGACAGCTGCCGCTCCCAATGCTAGAGCAGTGGAAGTCTTCTCCATCAAGGCAGCCCCACACAAGGCACCCAAGGCGATGTCCGAGATCGTGTACAAGTACAAACCCATCAAGGCTTCTTTGGATTTGGTCCATTGTTCGTGTGGGACACCCAATCCAGAGCAAATGGCATCGGGGAAGCCAGCCACCAACGCCAAGGCTGGTGCGGCACAGCCGATGCCAATGAAGGCAGTGAATCCTTTCTTGTAGTCTAAGCTCATGCTATCTTTTTGCTAATACTTCTGAACGTCTCGTCTTGGGTGGTCACATGCAGAGAATGATGTGCTCCAAATAATAAGTTTCTATTGTGATGATGATCGCGACGATGATCTTTGATATTATCCATGACTAAAATACCTAAGAACAGTTCGTGAACCAATCTAAACGAACGATGGCGGACAGAAACGCACAAAGAATATTTCTGAAACCTGCGGAATGATGAATCATCGAAAACCAAACATATTGAATATAGACACACACACATCGCGACTATGAAGAAACAAAAGCAGCTCCGTCTCTTGGCATTCATGCCCAAGAAACAAGCAAAAGATGACACTGGATCGAAGGAAAATAGTTTGAATGAAGAATGGAGGCAACCAGCTTCTCGCAAACGCAGTCGATCCGCCCAATCCCAAAGCGATTACAATAAGAGCACCGGTGTGGCTAGCATCTTTGAACGGCCAAAGTTGAAACCGAAACAAACGGATCTACTGGCCGAAAACTTGGGGAAATTGTTGGGCCGGAATCCTCAATATTTGGCTTCTGGAAGTGATGGAGATCCGGTTTCGTGGATCCTTCATGTACCCAATTGGTTTCCCTCCAAGGCTGGGGCAACTGGTCGCCTTGGCATTTCGTGTGGTGCGAATATTACGGATCCATCTTGTGCAAAACCCGTCCAAGACTTTCAAGCCGAATGGAATCTTCATCCCACCAAGCGCAAACAACTCAAAATATTTGGCCGCCCAGTCTCCGAAAACAGATGGAGCCAAGCTTGGGGGAAACCAATGGACTACAGTGGAATGATTGACGACAGTGATCGTCCACTGGATCAAAGTCCCAATCTGCCTTTTCTAATCCAACAAGTGAATACTATCATGAAGAGTGCAACATCAGATAATGGGGAAGAACACGATCAAAACGACAAGGAAACCCAAGTCAATTCGGGCCGGGTCTACCATGAATACAACGCGTGCTTGCAAAACTGGTACCAACCGGATCATTCCATTGGATTACATTCCGACGATGAAAGTAATTTGTACGCAAATTATCCCATCTTTAGTATCTCCTGGGGTGGAACCCGCCGATTCCTGTTACGACCCAAAGAAGTCAAGACGAGTGCAAAGAATGGAACCAACAAACAGAAGCGAGTCACTCCTGCTGCTGAACCGGTCGAAATTTGGTTAAAGGATGGTGACTTGCTCATCATGGGAGGTGCTTGCCAAAAGACACACAAACATGAAGTACCAAGACCGAGAAAGAAGGATCCTGTGACTGTCGATAGGATATGTTGGACCATTCGAGCCATCAAATCGTGAGTTTATACAATAGATCGCGAAATCAAACATTAAACCAAACCCAACAGAGTATTTCAATAGTCTCGTACACTATTCGGTTCTTAAAAAAAAATGTTAACTATACAATCGTCAAAAGTACACAATTTACACAGCAGCAGCAGCAGCAGCAGCAGCAGCAGCAGCAGCAGCAACAACAACTAAGTAATCCCACTCCAGCTGTGGATGGCTTCCACATAAATATCCGAATCGGCCCATTCCCAAAAGCCTTCCGTCAAGTCTTGGGTGGCTTCTTTCCATTGATCCTTGCACTTTTTCAAAATAATCATGGGAGTTCCAATCGCTATTAGGCCATAACCTGCCAAGACGGGAATCAACCAGGGGTGCACGGCCATCAAACCAACTTGCGTGGTAGTGGTAAAGCCCAACCAACCCATGACGCCACTGGCGGGAACTGTCACAGTTGTGGTTGCTGCCGCCAATGTGGCGGTAATGGTAGCGGTATTTTTTATATTCCCAACAGTCGTGGCTTGCAAAAATACCGAGGCTTGCAGGGTGGACCACCGACCCGTCTTGACCCAAACAGCAATGCATTCGGAATTGGAAAACAAAATGTGGTGTGGGGGTAGCACTTCGGGATTCATTAACAAATAGCGGACTCGAGCCAAAACAATGTTGGTGGGATCACTTTTGGGTAGTTTGGGGACTGGCGGAGAAGCTGCAGGGTCGGATTTGGGTGAAGCAGGTCCGTTTGGCTTGACAGTAGTGGTAGGAGATGTAGAAGTGTCATTGGAAACATTCAAGTCGTCCTTTTCCACGTCCTGTTCTTGTTCTACTTTTGCATCATCTATTTCATCCTTTTCATTATCTCCCTTTGATTCTTTGTCATTATCTTTGCTTTTCCAGAACCACCACTTGTTCTTCTTCTTGCTGACTTCTTCACCGTATTCTACCTTTTTCCATTGACGGATTTCTTTTTCATCCGTCAATGTGAGTATCGTTATTCGTTCTGCACCACGCATTTGACTCCTTCGCTCTTCAGCAGCTTTGATGAGTGCCTTGTCTTGTTGATCCACCATTTCTTCTAGTGGAACCGTTTCATTTTCGATTTCATTTTCTGATTTATATTTGTCAATGCTATTGTCGGGTTGCTTGTTCGCCGTTAGTCCAAAATCAACAAGCGTCAGACTATCGTGACAAGCACCAATACAGATGGCATGAACCTGCACCGGCCATATTAGTATGCTCGTCCAACGAATCAAGTGGTCTCCCTTTTGTATGCCATGCTCAAATACTTGCTCTTCTTCTTTTGTTTTCTTGCCAAACCCGAACATCGTTTGTGTTTTCAGAAAGGCAACTGCTTCTAGCAAGATGAGATTGAATGGGGGATATACGGCTAGATCAAACTATCAATGGATAGCTTTTGTAGCTGAGGTGCAAGCTATATT